TACTTTGATCTGATGCAGGAAAATGGCAATTATTCAGAACTCTTTTTACCGTTTAATTATAAAGTATAGAACTTCAACTTTTGTTGGGTGGTTTATAAAGTAGGTAGTGGCGTCCTCTGAAAATTGAGACTTTTCTTTTTCTCAGCCGTTTAATCTAAAATGATATTAGCTGTGAATTTTTGTAACCGTTTGAACAGGCGCTCTTGTGGGACGACGAGCAGTTATCTCTGGGCGTGGAACATTTTGTTTGGCATCGCTAGCTCGCCATAGCTGCTCGTCGTGTTCGTTGCAGTTGTCGTAGATGTCGCATTCAGTGGTAGTTTTGTTTGTTAGTTTCTGTGGAAGCCTGTGTTTATTTGTTTTTGTCTTGATTAGCTAGAATTAAACTTCAAAGGAACAAAATGAGTTGAACAACGTTGCGGTTACTTCAGTCTTCTACCGCCGTAATATCCATTCTCGAAGAATGTTTTGCTTGATATCTTGTCTCAGAAATGAATATACTTTTTACAAAAACAGGATAAGATTTTTGGTTTTTCAGCAACTGATAATTAAGCTGCTATCTTGTTGGTGTAAATTTCTATGATATGATTTGAGTTTTAGTCAAATTTTTTTCTGGGCTACTCTTAGCTAGTTTTGTAGCCCAATTCTTGTTCATATAAATGCTTCTTGCCATGTCAGTTACTTTGATCTGATGCAGGAAAATGGCAATTATTCAGAACTCTTTTTACCGTTTAATTATAAAGTATAGAACTTCAACTTTTGACTAAAAACCTAATTAAAACGTTAACTTTTCTTTCAATTGTTGAGCAATAGAAATTAATACTAGCCCACTTTTTGTTTTGAAGACACTTACGGAAAATTTGAGCCTGGCTGGGTTTTTTCGGCTGAAAATTTCCCAAGTTTTAACCAGCCATCTCCGAACCTTTTTTCGCATATTCTAAACTTAGTTATGTCCTTTTGAAGCGTAGGAGACAAACTGTTTTTCTAAAATTCTGAATGTGTTACCTATAGACAAAATTTGAATGGATTGCCGAACTTGTAAAACAGGAAACTTTTGCTGGAATCTATTAAACACAAAAAAAAGAAAAATACTATAGCTTGATTTAAGAATTTAAGCTTGTTTGCTTATCTAAACGTGGGCATCACTATTTAAACAAATTGCCCTTTCAAACAACAGTATTGCTTGATTCAATAATTAAAGCTTGTTTGCGTATCTAAATGAGGGCATCACAGTTCAAAACTAATTTTTGATGCTTGCTTGCATTTTTTCATCTAAATCTTTATAGTCCAGGTTAATTGACCTTCCAGAATTGAAGTTCCTGGGATGAAAATCGATTAAAATTGAGTGTTTTTGGCAGTGACTATAAAAATTAGAACTAAGACATTATAGTTGATTTGAAATGGATTATATTGCTGTTATTGAGGAAGCTTTGAAATTTATTGCATGACAAATATAATCGATATTTCTTCAATTTTATAGATAAAGATAATGAAACTCCACGTTAATGAGATGCAAATTTTAACGCACAGTAAGTCGTTTGCAGGTTTTAAGCTATAGTTGGTTAATAATTGGTTTGTTACTCATTTTATAATACTCAATTTTGTTGTTTTTCAACAATTTTCCTACATTTTTCGAAAACTTGCTGGGGGAAGGTCTGAAAATTGGAGATGGACAACGTTTTGAGGTATATATGTTTGAAAATACTAATTTTGAGAAAAATAGCGCGCTGAAATTGAAACATTGCAATTTGTAAGGAAAGCTTTCTAACATTTCCCAAAATTTTCAAAAAAAAGTTGTTCGAAATAAAAATCAATTCAAATTTTTGAGGGGTTTCACGAATTACAACGCGGGATGGGAGTGGTGTTGGTTGGTTCTAGTGGAGAGAGGGTAGCTAGTTCTGTTTGGTAGGGGTTGATGTTGGGGTAAAATTAAATGGACAAATGTTGGGGGGAGGGGGTTTGAAGGGAAAGGGGGTTAGGGAGGTAAGTGGCCAACGTTGGGGGGAATAGAAACATTTTGAAATTTTAGAAAGTTTAGACTTAGAAATTGAGTACTCTATACTCGTTTTGCAAATACTCTTCTTATATCATTTGACAAATGCATATTTTCTGGTTAAACTTTGCGAGACGAGAAACGAAAAGAAAACTGGGGACAGCATCCATTTTCATTTATTTTAAATGAACTAAGTTATCTAGTTAATTTTAAACTTCAGAAAAACAATTGTATAAAAAATATTAATAAAATTGGGTTTTGAGCTATGGCTCAATGGGACGATGTCCCCGTACAAATAAATGAAACAAAGACGAGACACAATTAAAAAGAGAACTGTCTGTTGTGTAGTTGACACGAGCTGCAGGGGCATAGAATGCGCCAGAAGCAGGTGTCAACTTCCGAGTACAGAGTAAAAAAGTAGTTCCAGTAGAGAACAGTCAGTTGTCGCTTCAGGTTGGGGCTATCAAAGAACGAAATGTGCTCTTGCAGGTAGTTGACAAGTTAAGGAGTGCGGATCCAGAAGTTTTCATCTGTTTTTCTCAGGCGATTTTTGGTGATATTGAAGTAGTTGGACGCGCCACGCCGTGTGCCAGTGTCACTTGCGAATTATAGGGGTTTTCTCCACTAAAGGTCGTTTTTTCTTGGATAATTTGTGAAAGCAAAAGAATGTCGTGCAGTTCAGTGTAAAGAGAGATTGGAAGTATACCTAGTGTAGCGCGGTGACTTCTCCACATCTGATTATCCATTTTGCTGCTCTTCTTTGCACGCTTTCGAGTTTTTTCAAGTCTCCTTTGTTGTAGGAGGGCACTTGGCTACCATAAGTGAGTATTGGTACAATATATCCACAACATACAGAAAGTTTAGTTTGTCTCGGTGCTTTTTCTGAGGTGTTGCGTTTAATCGAGAATAATGCGTTCATTGATTTACTGCAGCGTTCTTTAGCATGTAGTGACCAATTAAGATTATTGCAAATGTTCAGGCCCAAGTCTTTTTCACGGGATTCTGCTGGTAGTTCTTTACCACATAAGCTGAGAGCGCCCTCGCCTCGGAAAGAAAGTATCTTGCATTTAATAGAGTTAAGCGACATCTTGTTAGTTGCAAACCATTCGGTTACTTTGTCGAGGTCTCTCTGTAGGTAAATACAGGAGTTGGAAAAATACTTTGAGTCATCGGCAAACACGTATGTTGAAGAATAGCAGATAGCATCGAGTAGGTCGTTAATATAAATGAGGAAGAGAAGAGGGCGCAGAATAGAGCACTGGAGAACTCCGCTTCTTATTATCGTGGAGCCTGAAATGGCACTGCCAATAACTGTTACCTGTCGCTTTTTCAAAATCAATATAGTAGGCATGGAGTTGTTCCACTTTGGCATCATCAAGAGAGGAGTAAATTTCGTCGACGAAGGAAAGCAGTTGTAGAACAGCCGAACGTTTGGCGCAAAAACCGAATTGGCAATTGCTAAGATATGGCCGAACATGTTCATACAATTGATTGAAATTGCACCTTTCAAACACTTTCGATAGAGCACTGATGAGAGTAATTGGTCGGTAGTTCTCTACATTTCTCTTATCTCCTTTTTTAAACATCGGAAAAGTCGAGCCACGCTTCCACGCAGAAGGATATTCTCCTTTATTTCAAAACGCGTTGAAAAGTGATGCGACTGATGGAGCTAGCTCTGCTGAGAGTTTTTTGAGGACTCTATTTGGTAGTCCGTCCGGTCCACAAGCTTTTCCTTATTTAAGCTTCACCATTAGTTCGCGGATGTTGTTTGTTTCAATTTTTACTTTGGAAAACTTTGGAACATGGTCTGCTGCGATCTCATTGACTGTGGAGGTACTCTTATTGTTGAAAACACTGCTGAAAAACTTATTGAATAAGTTTGCTTTCGATTCATCGTCTGTTGCTGTTTCACATTTGAGGCTTACACAGCTCGGAGTTCCACCACTTTTCTTCAAGCATCTGTAGTATTTCTGAATGTCTGAGAAGTTTCGTTGACCAGCTATATTCATTTCAAAATTTGCTTGGTCTGCTAGGGAGCCTTCGTGGATAGCCAGTTCAAGATTTTCAACTTTGAGTTTGTTACTGTCTGTTGGTTTTCGACTTTGCCGTTTTTGAGCAGTGGCTTTGTGTTTGATAAGATTCGAGGTTTCATTTAAAATCCAAGGAGGGAGTTTTCGTCTGTGTTTTGTGATTCTTGGAACAAATTTGCAACATTTTCGGTACATCCAGGTGTACCATGTATCTAACAGCACGTCCACGCGACTGGTTACAACCCAATTGATTACAATGCATTTCTTATTCCATTTGGTTGTTTGAAGTTAACAAGAGAATTGGTTTTTTTGTTAACATTTAGCCCACAAAAATCTAATATGAATAGATTCCTTTCAGTTTTCTTAGCTGAGGGTTTCTGAATAATAAAAACAGTCTTTTTTATAAACAGGTAAAAATGACAGAACTTAATTTGAAACAACCTAAAATTTAATAATTTTGATCAAGCTACTCGCATACTAAGCGTGTTTTTCCAATTAAGCAATGAGTGAATGCTGGAAAGCGGAACTAGAACCACGTTGAGCTGAAAATGCTGGATATCGTTGAGCCCATAATGGTCGAATGCGAACTGTTACAACTTCTAGGTTACAACACTTGTCGGCTGGGAAAAATGAAGGAGAACTTGGAGAAAACCATCTCTGAACTTACTGTATTGGGGTTGGCATAATCAATCAAAGAAGCTCAATTCTAGGTTTTTAGCGGGACTGGTATTTCAAAGATAAAAAATGGAGAAACCTCGAAATGTTTAGCGAAATACAATTTGCCTAACTCGGTCTTACTTTTTGTCATAAAGTTTAATTAGAAACAAATATAAGACAAACTGTTTTTGAGTTTGCTGTGATCATTCAATCAATATGAAACTTAATTAGTTTGGTACCACAGATGTTCTTTATGATATTGAAAAGATACAGTAAAAAAGTGATTTTACATAGAAATCAAACGTAACGATGTGTGTTACCTAAGCTAATCAAAACGAAGCTGGAGGTCTGGCCAAAATATGAAGGCGGCGATCGGTCGATGACATGAATAGTCAAGTTATATAGCAGGCTGGGCTCCAAAGTATGCAACACAACCCGAAAATATGTATCTGTGTATCCCCAATTTGAAGTAACTTTGTCGCTGCAATTTTCACCTGTTATCACCACCACACAATTCCAATTTAAACTCCTCTCGAAGGGTAAATGGATCCCCGAATCGACACCTTGCAATACAAGTATCGTCACAGAAGTAGAGTTTCTCTGTTCTTCATAAATATCAGTGTTAGAGGTTGCCAAGTTTATTGACGTCGCAAACCCTATAAAGAATAATTTGATGTTTGTTTGACTGCACAAAAACTTATTTTTTCTAATTTTTCAAAGTTGAGTAAAAAAAGGCAATACTTATCTGCAAATACCTTAATTTTAATTGCCATTTTTGTTTGCTGCACAAGCAGTGCTTTTTTTCCTTATTTAGTCAAAGCTGCGTAATTAATAACGGATGTCACTCTACCATCAACAACAAAAGTGTCACTCTACAATTTCGAAGAATAGTATAAGTGCCCTGAAAAGAGAAACTAAAATCAGATTCTAGTTTTTACCGGACTTTTAAAGACGTTTAGTTTGAGTTTCTTCATAATCTTTCTATGGATCGGAAGATTTTCAAAACAACGGAAGCTTTTTTTAGAACTCGCTGGCTGAACGAAAAAAAAATGTCGCCAAATTATTTGATAGAAATAAAATTTAAAAAATGATGGATTGATCAATCGGTTTTTTTTTCAAATCTAAGTACCGAACAATTGTATAACTGTTTAGGCATCAAAAACCAAAAAGAAAATCAAGATGTACAGAAAAAGTAAAGGATCATATTGATTAAAAAAACCTTAAGAAAATTTGGAGGATAAAACATCTTACTTGGCAGAAACATGGGGAAAAATATTTTATATTTCCTTGTTTCAATTATTAAGCGAGGCGGCGTTTAAATTAAAGTAGAAACCATAAGTTGATTCAGTCTCCCAGCTTTGCACGATTGTTTTAAAAGCTCTTGCTAACAAACTTCCGTTTTTTTTCCTATTGTTTTCTAGTTTTTTTTTCTACTACTTTGTTAATAAAATCAAGTTAATTTTTTCTGAACGCAATTTCAAGTAAACCTTACGTTAAGACAAATCGAAAGTTTTGTTCAAAAATTTTCCTTTCATACATTCAATGATCGAATTAATCAGCAGCAAGAAAAGCTCTACTATCTTTTTTAGTTTCGGTGTTTTTGAACGAAAACGAACAAAACTCATAGGAAACAACCGAATATGTTGCTTTCTTGCCAGAGGTTTGCCTTGTGTAACATGGGTAAAAATCCGGTTTTAAGAAGAGCTAGACATGCTTTAGTTCAATTCGGAAGTATTTGGTGTGGGGTAAAGAAGATCGTGTTACGTTTTCAGCATTAAGATAGTCTTAAGTTTATCAAATGAGCAGTTTACAAGGCGCAAAGAGCAGTCAAGATAGTGCCTAGAAATGTTGCGTAATAACACGTAGACTCCGGGTACAATTCCCACTCTACAAACTTCATTCAGAAAAAAAAACCACCCCAAGCGATTATGTCTTTCACTTTCATGAAAAACAAGAAAACTAAGACTGCACATATGAGGGCAAAACACTGATATTGTTTAAGGTCTTTTAAGATACTGATAAAAAAGTTTGCTTTAGGTCAGCAATTGAATCCCTTCTAACCAAAATCGAAAAGAATAAAACGAAGGTTTTTCAGAAATAAACTCTGAGAACAAAATTTATTAATCAAAACTTTTTCAATCAAATGGCAAAGCTCAAAACGATAATAAAGGTAGTTAAAGTAAAGGAAAACCAACCCCATATATATATCAAGATATCCGAGCCAATTTTATTTTTCGTTTTTCTAATACATGGCTAGAGGAGATTTCGCGGTAGGTTGATTCAGTTTTACAAAACATAAACATAAATAATGTTTCCTATTTATTCCATCCCAACACGCTCTATATTGTAGAAGAGGATAAATTTTTTGCTTGTTTTGCGTCTGTAAAAGAAATCTATATGGCGCGATAATTGTCTCAAGATAATCAAATTAGTATAGAAATTTGGAAAACAAGGTCGTCATATTATATATTTTTTAAAATAGAGCCCAGGACAAAATTAATTTCTGATGGTAATTGATCTAACAAAAAAAAAGTGCTTACCTGCTTTAACAATAGGGACTGAAAGAAAGCAAAATAAGAATAGATAACCCATGGCTTCGACTATCAAAATAATCAATTTGGGACGAGAAACTTTCCGTGAAAAAACGGTGTCTTAAAATTTCACTTTGTAAAAATGGGACATTTAAAATCATATAGAAGCCACTGTTTGCACATTTTAAAAATATCAAGGCGTGTAATAACAAAGAAGACTACAACTCAACTATGATTTATTTTTAATAGATTCAAAATATGTTCAGCTCGTTTTTTGTTGCAGAGAATATTCAATAAGACTTTGTCATACGAAGTAAAAACAATTGACTAAAACAGAAAAATAAAAATTCATTGAGTTGAGGTAAACGCAAAAACAATACTTTTCAAACATTTTCTTTTGGAAACTGAAATAATAGATCATCAAGAGTATTTGATGACACTCAATAGCTTGCACAGTTTCTACTGCACAGTATACTGAGTTTGCCTCTGAACAAATGACCCAAAAGCTATAATCTGCTTCCTGTTATACCCATTTTTCTTTATCGGTATACTAGAAGCTAATAACTTGCACTAATTCATATGCATTATAAAAGCGGCCCGTGCCGGACTTTCGTAGACTAAAATATATTTTAGTCGAAAAATGTTGTTCAAAAAATTGTCCTTGGTTGAATTTTAGGCCATTGCTCTCTCCCCCCTTAACAAGTGAAAATTTGTTCTCATTATCCGATTGTCACGACAATTGACATGTGAACTAACTATGCATAACAAACATATTTGGTCTTTTTGTTTAACTTTGTAAAACCCCTTGTTATACCATGTTTGGGGTGATGAAAAAAGAGCCTAGGTCAGGAAATCGATTATTTTGTCAATATATTTGATTATTCAGTAATTAAAAAATCCAAAAAAAAACACGTATGATTCATTTAAAATCCATTGCACTTGATTCTATTGTATTAAAATCTCCAAAACAAATGGGAAGTTATTTGAAAAAATCCCTTAAAGTTTCTACATTACTCAGAGTTTACTCGCATTCTTAACCTACTCAGTTATTTTTTACCTTTTTAAAACTTAAAACGCAACTTTTGTCATTATATGGGATCACGAAAAACTTTAATCATCCCTTTTGTACTTTTTTAAGGAAATTGCTCTCATCAATATTTCAATTCAAAAAATTTTTGCAGTTTGGATCACATTATCAATTGCCAGAAGGCTCTGAGTTCATTATGAGTTGTCAATATTGCAGCACTGCTTGTATCTTGCTTCTACTTTGTAGGACGAAAAGAGGAACGTGCTTGTATCAGTGCTTTCACCTATAACTTCAAAAGTTTTTTTTAGTTTAGTTAAATTTGCTCAAAAAAAAAAACGTCTCAAAAATAAAACTTAGCGCCAGCCGCTTGTGAACTGAAGCTTTGTGTGATTTAGAAAAAAATTGAAACCAAGCGCTTGAAGACACAAAACAGAGAGAGTAATTAGGGACAAAATTTTACTGATTAACTAATTTTTTTGGAAAAAATTCATGTTACCAAAACCAAATAGTTTTTCGAGCTCCTCAAAGAGACGCTCCGCGCAAATAATAATAACAATTATGAGCATTTTTTAAAGCCTTGCAAGTAAGCTTTTTTAAACTTTGCACATACTTTTAGAAGCGTTTGTGCAAAAAACACAAAACCCTCAATATATGGTCGCCAAAAAAGTTCTGACGTTCTCAGATTTTTGAGTCCCTAAGTTTGGACAACAACTCGCCAAATTTGTATAAAATAAACGGTCATAGAGGTTTTTTTTGGCAAAAATAAGGTTTTTTCAATAATCATAATTATAACTCATAATAGTTGTTTTTAAAGGTTAATCAAGGTTTGAGGTCGTTTTGCATCTACTCGGCTATAAGTATTTTAGGTTTCGTCCTATCTTTCCTCTTCATCTTCAGTGGGGCTTTCTCTTTCGACGGGCAACGAGCAGCTACTAACTGCAATGCATGTCTATGTTGCATCAAGCATTCAGATGAGTATCAGCCGAACGAATGCAACCTGAAATCAATGGCATCAAAAATGTTCGTGAAAGTGGGAACTCTAATCTCGCTATGGCCAGTGAAGGTGACTTGTTGAAATTTGTGTTTTTTCTTGTCATGATCCATGTATTGAGGAAAAACCGATGACCAAAAAGGTTCTCGATTTTGCCCTGGATTTTTTTTCAAATTTTTAATCTAATTTTTGATGTCCTCAAAAGTTTCATGACAATCCAGCAATTCGATGCCGGACACTTTTTGGCAAATTCATCTATTCGCGATGGATCTTCTGACACTTTATAGCAATTTCATCTATTAGGAATTTTTCATGATACCATATCAAAAGGTTGGTTTAAAAACCTAGCAACGTTTGAAAACGTGATCATGACAAACAAAAAAAAAACAGAAAATAAAATGTTTCACCAACAAAGAAAAACGAAGAAAAACAAAGATATAAAAAAAATTCTAATTTTTGTGTTTTTGTATTTGAATGGGTGGATATCGTCGTTCTGTTAATCAAAACTGTTTTGCGTATCTGGATTAATAAGACAATTACTTTCTCCTCCAAGTAATGCGACGCTGATTTCCACAGGACGTGAAAGCTGCTTTTGTATTTAGATTTGGGGGTGTATGAAAATCCAGATGAGCAATCGGTTTTTCTAACTATATCCACCCATTATTTTTGAAATTGCCTCTATTTCATAGAACCTGATGTATGCAATCAAATTTTGGCAATTTATGAAGTTCTATCGATCAATCAATCTTTTTAATTCAAAACGAGCTACAACAAAATGCGCAGTCACAATTACATACTTTTGAAAGAATAACAATTTTTTGTATCATAACTAATATCAAGCAACTATCATGAAAAATTTGTTCCTAAATTGGCAATTTGCTCCTAAATTGGAATGACTGGGACTATACAATGTGACATGAAGTCTCAGCCTCAATAATGCCGTCATGAAAACACATAGTGTATGAAAAATATATATAGTAAATAAAGTTTAGAGAAAATTTAAAATGCCTTAGAGTACAAGAAGTTTTTATAAGTTTGTCTTATAAAGAAGCTATCAAGTTTTTTGAAACCGTAATGCGCTACATGAAAACCACCTCAAGTAGAAATTTTTGGTCACCATACTCGAAAGTAAAACCAATTATGAGTACTTGATAACCAAGTTGATAGTCTTGGTATCTTACTTTGACATTTGAAAGTTAAATACTTTATGTCTCCCATTCATTATCTCAGTATCCAACAGGAAGTGCTGACAAGCACTCAAATCCTCTTTGAGTATCTCTCCATATTCCCCTTCTTCCTCCACAATCTTGTTCTAGTCTACCACGGTTTCACTTGGTGTCCGTGGTTTTGCACCATGTTTTTTTCTCCGATGTTGTTGGAGAGAAAAGTAACTCGGAAACTCCTTCTCGCAAAACGAGCAAACCGCTGATTGCTTGGAAGATGATGAAGCATGCTTTTTAGCTACGTGATAAATCATTTCTTGCTTATTGTGAGTGAAATTACAATCAGGACAGGAAATAATCCCTGCTTGACAACTTTTGCGGTGCATGCACCCTAACATGCATGTCCCCACACTGCATTTTCTCGTCTCTTTTCGATTCAGCGACGGCATCTAAATTTGGGAGTTCTATTAGTATGAAAACAAAAAATTAGTACTTGGTACATGTCAAAGTGGGAGATTTGAAATGTCCCAAAAGTTTAATCAGTGGCTTACACTTAATTTGATTTATTGGGGAAAGAAAAAAGTTTTTCAAATAATTGTACAATGTATAGAACAATTGTTTTTAGCGTAAATTAAAATCAGAATGAATATGTTTTTTTTGCTGTTGCAAGAAAAAAAGAGGGTTTTTCATTTTCAAAATCAACCAATTGGAAGTGAGCACTTTAAAACAAGATTCCTAGAGATTCCCTTCCCAATTTCCAACCTTGTCAAAACACCCCAGCAAAGCTCTCTGTTCCTCCATTTCTTTAAAACGTTTCAAAGTTCAAAATCTTGCATGATCGGAATAAGATTTCCAGAGATTTGCTTTGAAACACTCATTAATTTAGAGCTATGCTCTCAAATATACATCAAAATCAAAGAACTTGATTATCTACTCAAAAATTAGCATTTTATCGATGATAACATACAAAAAATTAAGTTAACTTGATAAAAACAGTTTCGGAAATGCTACTTATTCCAATTTACTTTCTTTTTTTACTTATATCGGCAATATTTCTTATTTTTACAGCAAACAACTTTTGGTCATTTATTTTGCAATTGATTCTGTGTATGCATTTACTTATTTAAAAGATTTAAGTCTTAAAGGTTCCTCTGGTTGGATACAACAAGTAGAACAAAAATGAACATTTTAGTGATTGGAAACGAGAATGAGTAAAAAGAACCTAAAATGGAACTTTGTGTCCGATTGGACACGACTTTTATATAAAATTTCCATGAAAGAAAGCCGAAATCTGGTTGGACACGACTACCGTCCAAAATGGAAAATCAATTTCGATTGGTTAAACTCACACATTCCTGTAGAAGGTACCCCTCACTCTCAACTAAAAATCTTTTCATTTTAAACTTCACTACAGTCAACTACCTCTTCTCTCAGCTCTAAATACCTTAATTTCAAATTATCTAACTTCAACTACCAAATCTCTCGGCTCTAAACCATTCTGGTTTTTATTCTCTATCTTTTACTCAACTTATTTTCTCAGTGCAAAACAGCAACCTTATGTACTCGGTGGAATTTTCGCCTGATCTAGTACAAATTCAAGTGCGAGAAACAAACTCTGTAGTTTTCCTGACACGAAATGACATCCCAATCCAAGTCTGGCACATGGTGGAAAAGATGCAAAAGGATTTCAACGAACATCGTATGACACAAGTACCCATCATAGAGAATCAACTTGGAACAATGCAAATGATGGAGGAAGTGTCTGAGCTTGTGGGAATGAACTACCCCGAGATTCTTGACTCAAGATTTGTGGCTCAACCAGTCAACGATTACTTCTTCCCTCGGGAGGAAGCAGAATCAGCCGAAAACCCTATGACAATAGATGAAGATGAGGGTTTCTCAGAAACAATGACGCCTCACAACACCCCTCCACAACAACCAGCAGCGATGGAACCTCGTTCAGCTCTGCGTTCTATAGAGAACCTACAGAACTCTTCTGCTGCTCGACAGCTTTTT